AAGCCGCTTTTTACCCGGGAGACCCAGTCTTTATAGCCTTAGACTTGAAGGTGTACATCGAAAAGGACTTACAGGAGGCAAAAAGAAAAAAGCAAGGCGAGAGAAAGATGAGCGGCTCGTTTGTTACACGTATATCCTCGATACAGTATAGACGATCCGCGATTTACTTTGGCCGACGTGGGAGCGGTTTGTTACTGCGCGAGATAGTTTGTCGTGTTACAATATCGATTTTATGGCTCCTTCACGTGCCATTCCGAGGTTTCCAGTCCCCAGATGTTTTTCCTCCGTAAAGGGCGATATCGGTACTAACCCAAAAGCGCAATTGGTACTATGGGCACATCTGCAGCGTGAAGCGGAACACAGAATGCAGATTAGATTTCGACGCTTTGCGTGCACGAGGTGCCTCGTAAACATTAATTTTAATGGTAGAATCTTGAGCGCATTTGTAGTTGATATCTTCTTGTAAGGAAAATGTTGTATTCAACGTGTTAGAATTTAACGCACTACGTGTTTTTATCATTTTAATAATTAACAAAGTCTATATGCCGTCGCATTGATAGAAAAGTGACTTATCTCAAAATCAGCAACTTTTAGTGGAACATTTTTTTTATTCTAAATTGAAACAACTCGATACATTGGTTTTCATTAGGATCGTGAACATGCATAATTTCATTTTTTTTCACGTTATATTTTTTATTATAATGTATTCTTTAAAACTGTCAAATTTTCGAAATTTGCAACCCTAGTATAGTGTAAATTTCATTTCTTATCAAAGTTGTCACATCTCTAAATTTGAAGTTTGAAGATAATTTAAATTCAAACATTTTATTTTTTAACTGTCACTAAGAAAAATGTCTACTATTATTTCAATTAGAATTCTAATAGATTTAACCGAAAAGTTCTGATTCATTTATTTTTAACCAGAATTCCAATTAATCCAACTAGACATTTTTATCAATGTACTAAACAATATCATAAACGTGAAATAAGGTATATCTATTTCTATAAATAAATGAAAATACACTTACCTTTTAAGAAAAAATGATATAATCTCCATTAGAACGTTTTTCTATTCCAGCATCAACAATATTCCTTCACTGTATATCTAATGCAAAAATGATTCTTTATTATAAACAATTACTGCGATCAAAGAATAAGCAATATATCTGTTTTCTGATGGTAAATTGAGAGAGCTACAAATGTGTCATTAATAAAAATGTATTAGTCTTTAGGGGTTCGATTTTCTTTCATTTTACCTCAACAATGTTAAATTTTTACTTATGACACTTTTAAACATTGGCACCTGGATGTTTTTAATAAAAAAAAAGTCAATTTTAAATTCATAAAAATATCTGAAAAATCTTGCCCGGTAAAATTTTAACATCCAGCATATGTACCATGCGACAGATTAATGTCATGTCGGATTTATCAGATGTACATCGAGAAAAGTATTGGCGTTGCAAACAAAGAATAACGTGCAAACGCATACGCGTACGCGCACACACGTAAATCCGAATGACACGTTCAAAGAGAGATATAATTTTGTATAAATTTATACGCGGACGGTTTGCATGCGCAATGAGCTTCGGGTAAATGCCGGGAAAACGAATATTTACCGCATCGGCGATATGCGGGTGCGAAACGGTGGTGAATTTGTGTTACATGACACCATGTATACTATCCGTATATACGACGATTTACTTGAATCGCGCGACGCAGAATTAGTTGTTTACGAAAGAAACACTGTTCCGTACAGTATAATATCGATTTTATTGCTTCTTTATGAGAAATACCTGTTTCCTATGATCTGAAGCGTTTCCCATCCGGAACGAAATGAAACGATTCGTACGAGCGCGATCGAATTCGCGTAGCTTATTGTTAGACATTATAACCGGAAAGGAAAATGGAAATAAATGCGAAATGTGTTCAATTTCACGGATGCCGTTCTCCTATATTAATATATTTCATTTTTAAATCGAAAGATCGAGAGATCGAGAGATATCCTGCGATAGACGGCTATCTCTCTGTAAATAACTATCACAGCCATAAAACTCTTAGTTTTACATATGCTTGTTATTTTTCTAAGAAATTTAAATGACATTTAGAAAGTAAAAGTACAAGTTAAATATGGATTATTCATTCTATAATTCTTATAGATCTCTTTAATTAATTTCTAATACTTATGTTCAAATGTTAATAAATTTTCCTAAATTTTCCTAAATTGTTTGTCGCATTTTATGTGTTCTTGCATGTGAAAATGAAAGTTGCAACAATGTTTGCAAAGTTACCTATATACATCGCCCGCATTTGGTAGCCCGCATTTGCGGTTTCTGTGTTGACCGAACAAAAATGACCAATGCAAACAATAAACAAATGTTGACCAAGTTACTGGCTGACAATATTGACTCTCTCTCCCTCCCCCTCCTCCTGTATTCCACATCTTCTCCCCCTGGACGTTAAAATTAATTAGAATTTAAACAATTTTCTCTTTCATTTTGCGGTTTTTGTATTGACTAAACAAAAAAATGACCAATGCAAACATTAAATAAATGTTGTTGACCGAGTTACCGGTTGACAATATTGATTTCTCTTACTCCGCTTCCCTACTCTTAATTTGTTTTGTTCTACTTCAACATTTTTAAACGCGCAGATATCGATTGCAAGTGAAGGGTTAATGGAGATCATATAGATCGATACTCATATATGTGCACGGAGAAAAATGTAACGTAATATACACTCAAATTCTAGTAAATTGCATAGAATTTGCAGGTCCATATAAAAACAGGCGCCTAATTATGTACAATTAACATGTACAATATATAAACCCACAATAAGATTCGGTAAACTTTTAAATTAAGAGATACCCTCTTCGATAATCTTGATCTTGACATAGAGATCATGTTATAAAGATGAGAGTACTGATCAACTTTTCCTTATGAATTAAATGGCGATCTC